GAAGGAATTGGGATAGCGATCTAGGAATTTCAGGGTTGTTTTGTATCATAAAAAGACAGATCGAGTTTGAAGATGAGCATTCTAGATCAATAATTGACTTAAAAAACGATAACAAGCAGGCCCGCCCTTCCGCCAAACGGAGTTGCCAGCTCCACTTCGCTGCGCCGGCAACTCCGTTCGGCAGGGGCCGAGCCTCCTTGGCCAGCCGGCGGCGTTTGGTCAGGCCTGCGGCCCGACCTATAAGTCACTATATATATTTCGAACAATCTTATTAGGCTTTTTTTTTGGGGGGGGGGGTTGCGGCCCTCAAGATTAGCTCCTTGCACACGAGAAAAGCCTGTAACGGTGTGACACCGTGACTTCACTCCGCTCTTCTGCTTTGAAAATGAATAAGAAAAGAAAATACAAGGACAGTTTTCAGCTTGTATTGTTTTTCAAACAGTCTTCCCAGTCAACAAAACATAGTCCCGAACACATCCCTGGTCCGGTTGGGATGTGGGACGTCAGGACGTCCCACAGTACTACAGAATGCAACATTTTTTAGACCCTGAGCAGAAGACAAGCACCTCCCACCAGTACGTCCTGAGTAGGAGGTGATTGTCACATCCCGGAAGGAACGTCCCCAGGAGGAACTTTCACGACCTGACCATCACTTTATACAAAACAATATGACAATATTCAAAAGTAAAGTGAGACTCGATGAGTTTCTTATCTGAATCTTAATCATATTCATCCAGAAGCAGGTCCTGGAGAACTCGGTCAAGGTTGACAGAGTTTACAAAAATTATTCATGGCAGTCATGTGATGTATCACTTGACCACAATTGTACCTCACACTTGGCGAGGGGTCTATAAAAGAGGTATGCGGATGATCCGCGAGATTTAAATTAGACATCACACAAAATCTGAAATTGTGTATGCAAGTGAACATTGGTAGTGCAATTCGACTTCATGCCCCTTGCTTCATACGGAAATAACGTAACTTTTCAAAATACTCATTATTTCAAACATTTTAACGCAAAAATGATAAAACCTACGAGGATCGCGCCGCTAGCGCCATCTGTCGGCAAAATATAGCACGGCACACGGCTGACACTGGCACACCAAAGACCTCCCGCAGCAGATGTATACAGGATGCTCATCATCCTGCTAGTCTCCCTAACCATGACATCCGGAGCAGGTTATCTGTAGTACGTCCTGGTGACATTCATACTGGCACATCCCTAGCAGACGCATACGTAACGTCTTTTCCAAAGACATGCTGGTCAGCACCCTGACTTGACGCCCCGAGGAGCAACCCGACGGGTGCCCCTGAGGAGGTACTCGTATGTTACGTCCTGCCCCGATGACATGCTGAGTAGCTCCTCGGCGGGACAACCCAAGGAGCTATACCGCTGGTATATCCTGAGGAGTAACTTCTCAGTACCTTAACACAGAAGTACCTCCCAGTCAGATCCCGGCCAAGACGTCCATGTGGTCGTGCTGCACAACACATCCTGATTTGCTCCAAAGCATGTATTCTTGGGATGTCCCAGTAGCACGTGTGAGGGATTCGTTTGGGATGATCCCAAACTCTTCCCAAAAGTAAATGGGAGCTGCTTTGTTGACTGGGTTAAAGCTGGACTTTATGCCATTGTTCTAAGTATATCGACCTCGAGCTCTGAAACGATTAAAGAGACGACAGTTTCAAGGCCTGATTCTGATGCAAAATGTTCTGTTTTGGATCTTACTTCCTCTGTCGTTTTTCGCCCGCCCTTCTGCTTTGAAAAAGCTATCTAGCGGGCTTATGGAAACGACCTCGTGTCTGTGTGTCTGTCTGTCTGTTCCACTAAAAGGAGATGTGCTATAGACTTGAAATTTTCAGGGTATCTTTCCTAGAAAACAAAACGCCTTCGGCAAATCCTGGCAACCACCCCTAAGGGTGTCAATGGTGGTATCCAAGGTTCAAATTCTCGCCCAAACAGTTATTTTTATTATATTCCTCGAAGGGGTAACTCGTCAAAGTACAGTTCTCTAGGCAAAAATTTCGTTCGTTGGGCTCTATCTCTAACCGTTTAAGCGCTGGAGGGTCTTTTTTGACAGAAATAAGCTAAAAATTGCTGTAGTGAACAATAAGTTTCACAAGAAGGCCAAAAAACCGCACAAGAGGAAAGTCCCCCCCACCCCAAAAAAACGTTTTCTAAGCAGAAGGGTGGGTTGTAGTCGCGGTGCTACACCGTTCCATCCCTTTCTTGTGTCTACGGGGAAAAAATACGACGGGTTTTAGTGGGCCGAAGGCCCGTTACATCATTTGATTATGTTCTTCAGCAAATCGCGAGACAGAAATCCATCCATCCATCGCCGCCGGCAGGCCAAGTAGGCCCGGAAGGGCGGGCCTGCTCGTTCGATTTGAGGCCTTCTTGCACGTCGCTATGCACACTGCACAGTGCGGTCATTTTCGGCGCATTTTCGTCGAAAAATCACCTCTAGCGCCCAAACGGTAAAAGAAGCCAAACGGACGAAATTGTAGCCCGATGGGCTCCACGTTCACGAGTTACCCCTCAGGAGTCACCGAGGGGGGGGGGGGGGGGGGCCCTTCGAAAAATCATTGTACAACCCCCAAAAAAACATTTAAAAAATCAAAAAAAAAAAATCAAAAAAATCAAAATAAAATCAAGTGGAAAGTTGCATAAAAATCCGAAAAATCGAGAACAAACGACCCCAAAACTGAGAAAAATGGGCACAAAACAAGAAAAAACACGAAGTTTTTGTAAATATAACTGTTATTGTCTTTTTCATAGCTTAAAAATCAAAAGAAAAATCTAAATCAAAAATCAAAAAAATCAAAAAATCATTGTACACATTTTGTTTGAGTGAGCCCCCCCTCGGGAGTAACTTTTCTTTATGTCCTGTTTTCTTTGATACCCCCTTTCAGACCCTTAAGGTTGGTTGGCAGGATTTTGCCATAGGCGTGTTGTTTTCTGGGAGTGAACCTTGAGATCCCCTGAAAATTTGAAGTCGCTACCACATTTCCTTCTAGTGGAACACACAGACACACAGACAGACACGAGGTCGTTTGCGTAAGCCCGCTGGATAGCTTTTTCAAAGCAGAAGGGCGGGCTAAAACAGCTCAGCGCCTCCACGGCTGGGAAGAAACGCTCAGCTCACTCCCGCCGGGGAACAAAAGCTCAGCTAGCTGGGCGCTCCCGACAACCATTTAAGTCGCCTTTTCATCGAACATGTTACATTGGTATCAGTCTAAAGAGGCGAAAATTCTCTTTCGAATGATACTAATATCACACACTGTTACTCAAGGAATAAATTCGTTTCAATGTTAAACCTGTCACATTCGTTTGAATAGTGTGTTACACTCATTTGAATGTACGTGAATTGATGCTCAAATGGAGCCAGCACGGTGGAGGGAGATACGGTGGGGACACTGGGGTACTTGCGCCTTTCACAATTCCGGCTCCGTTTCTAGTACCTGAGTACGCTGCCGGGCGGCGCTAATCGCAGGACGTACTGGGGCGTGGCGTAGCGTAGCGTGGCGCACCACCAGCCCGTGAATGCAAGAGAGAGAGGTCCGAGCCGCGTACCGGCTAGCCCGCGCCACGCCCCAGCACATCCTGCGTTGAGCGCCACCCGGCGGCGTACCCAGGTACTAGAAACGGAGCCGAAATCGTGACAAGCGCGGGTAGGCAGGAGCGGCGGCCCAGTGTCCCCTCCACCGTGGGTGCCAGACTTGGCTAGGGATGGACACTTTATGCAAAAAATAATGCCAAATTATGCGGGCAAAATCTGGTCAATTATGCGGCCATTATGCGGGTTAAATAGTGAAAGTATGCGCCAACTATGCGATAAAAATCTGTGAATTTATGCAAATACGTGCAAATATCTGCGAAAAAGACGGAAAAAATGCAAAACAATGCAATAAAACAAATTTATTTATGAAAATTTAGTCTTAATATCCAACATCTAAGATTTAAAATGTACCTTGACGTTTGCCGTAGCCTTCGATTTTGTTAGACAGCGTAAATATATGGTAAAAAGTGAAAAACCGACTGAAAATTTAGATGCTCTTGTCAGATTATGCGCTTAAAATGCGAGTTATGCGGTCATTATGCGAGAAATGCGAGAAACGGCAAATTATGCGTTTTTATGTGACCTAAAAATGAGTTCTTCTAAGCACCCCAAACTCATATCTGTTCATATTTTTTCATTCTGAGCATTTTACAAAATTATGCGTTTTATGCGCTTGCATAAAGTGCCCATCCCTAGACTTGGCCGATTCACGTTTAAACGAATGTGACGTCACATTCGTCGAATAACAGTGCTTTTACGATAAAAAAGGGACTTAAGCGGTTGCCGGGAGCGCCCAGCTAGCTGATCAGTTTTTCCTAGGCGGGAGTGAGCTGAGCGGTCCCAACCGGTCCCAACAGTGTTGTGCCAGGGAGGTGTTCGGGACTAGGCTTTGTTGACTGGCACCACTAGATACCCCACACATGTTTTTCATGGCATTTTTGTTATGTGTGCTTCTCTGGTTTAGTCGCGAAGCATGCTAGAGCATGCCTTTTCTGCACAACCAAGGGCTCTAATGCTGTTAGGAACGATCACAGTACGCCACCCCCGAACAAGAATAGCCGATCTGAAAACCTCCAGGGACAAAATATCAGATCTGCATTCTGGTGGTTCTGAGATATTGCAGGGTGAAGATTCAACACTCCCATATAAATGCAGTTCGTATAAATTATCAAAGATTTTGTGCCTCCAGTCCAGGGTCAAGAAAGTGCTGCGGCACTAGATTTATGGGTTTTTGAGAGATTTGAACCATTGTGTATCATCAAATGGATCAGAAATGTAACTGATAGAAAATATCGTAAGATTTGACAAATAAGTCAAAACGCCCTAAAATGTTACATGAGACGTTTTACTACGGGGCAGTGCAGATCGGACATTTCACTCCTGGGGGTTTCAGATCCGTTTTTCTTGTTCGGGGGGAACGAATAATTCTTTTCTCTGTAATACAAGAGCGCCTTATACATTTTTATTAAATTTTACAACAATATATTACCCTTCGACATTAACAAATTTATCAGTATATTGTGTTTAAAACTTCCAACCAGTGCCGTAACTACGAGTTCCCTGTCTCCTACCAATGCATTGTCTGGAGGAACATTTCTTCAGAGTTAGAATAGCCACCTTTTAGAAGATATTCTAGGGAACATATTCTTATGATGCACAGCAGGTCGTCGAGCTGGTCCATAATAACTCCTGGGTTCAGTGCTTGAAATATTAACTGAAATAAAGACAAAAAATACTATTGAACGTAAACTGCAAAATGCTTGCAAAGATACCTACGCATTGCAAACGATTTTCTTTGCAGCTTGCAAATACTTTCGAAACATTGTAATACGAAATAGCTCCTCGCTAGCTTGCAAACTATTTCTTTGCAATGCAAACACACAGTTTACAATGATTCTTACAGCTTGCAAAGAGTTTATTAGCAATACGAACTAATTATTTGCTATGCAAAGCTTGGAAATACTTTGTAACGCTGCAAAGAATATATTTTGCAAGCATCGTACTGTGATGCATATAGCATGTCATTGAAGATGTTGACAACGATTTTCTTAGAGTTCATGGTTTTACGTGGAAACTTGTTGCACAAAGAGTCTTACATAAATTGCCCGTATTTCTGAAACCACTTGATTCATAGTAGAGGGACTTCAGGAAACGGGTTACTTAACAGTACCCACCCTAGGCCAAGAGTTCACATTTTCTGTATTTTCGGTGTGGATTGTGGCAATTTCACCCAAACCTGGCCTTAAGTTTCTACCACGTTGTGAATATTTTATTTACCTGGCAACATTCCAGGCAACCCTTTGTAGTTGGCATGCAGATTGACGCAGTCTCTAAAGGCGTGAGTCCAGAGCTATCGGCTGCGTGGACAAGAGTCGGCGCCACACTCAGCAGCAACTTGACAGCGGTAGCATGGCCATTCTGAGCGGCCAGGTGCAGCGAGGTTGAGCCAGAAAAGTTTGGGGGGCAGTGTGGAATCAGAAATGGGTCGGCTGACTGCACTCTGCTTCTCGTGGTATCATCGCTGAGACAATTTCAGAGCTTTATCGGTGCCAATAGTAATCCTCATTGGAAAAATCTTAGTGCTTAAATAATGCTTACCTATGCAGAGCAAGTAGTTCTTCCATGCACTGTACGTTGCCATCTTTGCTTGCAATCATGAGGGGTGTGAAACCAATGGAGTTCCGTCTGCAACAAAGGCATATCCCGCATATAATTTTTAGTTCGCCCGGGCTTCTGCGCGGCTCCGTCGCGCGGAAGCTGAATCCGCCCCGCGGAATGATGCGAAGTCGCACAGAACAACGCTTGTCCAAGATGCCAGACATGTATGTGAACTGCCCGGCGTTGTTGATTGCAAGGTGTCGTAGCGGGGCCGGTAGGATGTCAGCGGCTCGCGTTCGTAGCTAGCCGCGCGCACACGGTTGCTTAAGAGTTCCGCCGGACCATTCATGAACACTGCTTGTCTCGAGGGGACCACCACTTCGATTGAGGATGTACACAGGATTACGTGATTACAGGGATTACACGTCACTTTTGAATGATTACACGTGAGTTACGTTGAATTTTAGGCTCTAAAACAATCAAATTTGGACATTAAGGTAAAATTTAGTGATAATGTTTTAAAATTTGGTCGAGGATTACATGGAATAGATACGGATTACAGTGTACACAGGATTACGCGAGTGGTGGCCCCCTCGGCTTGTCTAGTATTACAGAACTGCCCCCGGGCTGCCCGGACGCGCGCCCAGTCACGCTCTGCCACCAGTTCGCCGCGCGGCCTCCGGGCAGAACCGTATAAACGTAAAAAGTTCCGACAGATTTCTGGCCTAAATTTCAAATTGAGAGACAACAGGACCGCAACGAGTTTTTAATTAAGCTGCTAGACCACCTGGACAGACAATTGAATTACATGTCCCCAGGTACCAAATCCCCTATGAAACAATATTTAATACCACTACTCAATCTGTTGGTACGATCTCAGTGAACTTCAGTTTAGTGTGTTTCACAACCCCTTCTGAAAATAATATTTTTTTAGTGACTTGCAATGTATGCAACTTGGATTCCACAACCAATGGTGAAGTTCGAGACTTCTCATTGAGCGTCCGTCCAGCACTTGCTACGAGTATATCTGAGTATTTTAATCCTGAGACAATCTCGGACTATAAGTGCATTCAGTGCCACAAGTGTGTAAAAGCTACAAAGACTAAGGAATTGATCAATCCTTCAGAAGTTTTGATCCTTCATTCAAAGAGGTATTCACTTATCAATAAAAAAGACTAGTTCAAGAATCAACAAAATAATCTTCTCCTGAATTGGGTGTACAAATGTCAAGAATTGAATTGGACTAAATTGGTTGAATTGTTTTTGAATTAGCTTGAATTATTGTGATTTGAATTACTTCTGAATATTATGTTGAATTAAATTGAAGTGGTCTGGGTCTGAATTAGTTTGAATCGGCCAGAATTAGGGGTGTACTGTACATTTTTCAGAGGAGTTATCCACCCCTTGAAATTAAAACTATGGAACATTTGCTTTAGTTCCAGATTCACATGGGATTTACAAAAAGATAAATTTTTTGTAAAGTATAATCCCACCCTGACTATTTCTGGGACAAAACACAAATTAATTTTGGTTGTAGTCCACAAAGGTAAAGCTGCTGGTGAAGGGCATAACATCACTGTGTCGCACTGTGCGGACCAGATGTTCAAGTGTTTCAATGATGAGATAGTATGTTTATTTTGCCATTTCATAGTATTCTCCGTTACGCATTGTTCTACAGCAAGCAATTTTCTCTGTGTGTAGGTAACCATCACCGGCATTCAAAAATGCCTTCAAGAACAAGCTTATATTTTATTTTATGAGAAAATGACTGCTTAGACGCAAACTAAGGTTTTTGTGTTTCTTTTGTTTTTTAAAAGATCTCTTAAGTTTCTTACGATGCAGGTTTGCAGGCTTCATAAAGCAGCCCCTTCTTGAGGGGTCCTTTCTATGGTTTTGCTCCATGTGTATTTGAACATCCATGGTTAGCAATTTTATAGGGGACCTCGCATGGCTCTTTATGTTGGACAGAAGAAATCTCAAGTTTATTTGATGAGAAAATGTCTTAAACCTGTACACACCATATTTTCAAAACGAATTGGAGAATGCTACGTCGCTGCTTTGAACGTAAGTTTAATTTTGTATGAAACAGTCTGGGACCATGTCTACTGCTGCTGTTGTTCGGTTTAAATAATACAACGCTAGCGCGAAAAGCAGACGATAGCACACGATAATCCCGAACGAGAGTGGCCGTCAGTGCGCATGCGTCGCCTCCCTTCGGGCCTTTGTGGTGAGGGAAGGCAAGCGAGCGTCAAGAGAATTCAGCCTCGCCAGTCGAGAACTTAGGTCTGTCTCACTATATTAAGGCGTGCCAACTTCGTGCGACCAAGAACTACACAGCGGGTTTCCGAGTGGCGAAACCTCCGCTTCGCTGCGCCGGCAACACCGTTCGGCAGGGGCCGGGCCTGATTGTTTTATCTGTAGACGTCTCTGTGGTGGCAAATTCAGTCCTGGGTCGCCTTTGGTCAGCCCGCGAGAACTAAATGTTTAATGTGTGCCCTGCCCCCACCATTACCTTCCATTACTTACTTTCCGTCGGGTGCACAGCCCCTACTGATCAGGAACCTTAATGCTCTGGGTGCGTTTGGTAGTCTAGGTGCCACTAGGAAACACAACACGGGCACCTTTCCCAGGCCTCGTAAATCATTGACGACTTTTTCACAGGAAACCTGATGGTACTCCTGTAAGAAAAAAAGGAGACCAGACACCTAAAGTGGATGGTGAGCTAGTGTAAAGGTTAAAGTTGTCTGCCCCGTAAGACAGTCGCGTGCACACATCAGATAGGCTTCGCTATCGCTCAGCCAACAACAATAGCGCAATATTTGCGTATTTGTCGTTTTCAGAACATTTTAAACCCCAATTTCAGTTGTGGACGCCAGTGACGCCGCCGACAAATTTTAGGCCAAACGCCGCCGCCGATAAAAATCCGGTCGGCGCTCATGTCTAAGTCGAAGTGACGGAAAGTTGACGAGCCGGAGGCCCGTATCTTTGTGTTCATTTTGGCGCTACCCGACTCGGGTGTTAGCGCCGTATGCCAGGCGCGTCGCAGCGCAACAGTGTTTCGTGAGATATCGCGAAGCTGGTTACGCCAGACGTGGTCTGTCGTACATCTACCTAGTTTTGATGGCTGCAACAAAACATATCCCTTAGTGCAGGGGTCGCAAACTCGCGGCTCCCGAGCCAGGCGCGGCTCGCCTAGCCCGGTAGCGGGGCTCGCCGAGAGCCGCGCACCTCTTGCGTTCGGCTGGAGCCGAAGTTCCCTAGCGCCACGCTCTGGTTGTGTCTGCCTTTGTTTCACTCACTAAGAGCCATTAGGAGTGACAAAGACAGACATACAGGCCGGCGGACGACGCGACAAGATATGTCTCTCCCATCGAAAAGCTCGTAGAGCGCGTGGCCTTTGCAGGCGCGGCTTGGCAGAGGTAGCGCCCGAGCGCCCGTCAAAGATGGCAGAATTGTGCTTTAACCTTTAAACTTGTTATCCCACCCACAATGTGCCAATGTGAAAGGCCACCGTGCCTGTTTGTAAGGCCAGGAGCGTATACTTCGGCTTTGATCAAATCCGCCATAGTTGAAATCGTCGAAAAAGACTATCTAATTTAACGAGGTACCTCTTTAAAAAGCATATAAAAATTAAATTGTGCGAACATTTGAACCTTGGATACCCCCATTCACACCCTTAGGAGTGGTTGCCAGGATGTGCCGTAGGCGTGTCGTTCTCTAGGAGTGGACCTTAAGATACCCTGAAAATTTCAAGTTTCTAGCACATCTCCTTCTAGTGGAACAGACAGACAGACACACAGACAGACACGAGGTCGTTTGCATAAGCCCGCTGGATAGCTTTCCAAAGCAGAAGGGCGGGCTAAAAATGGTCGATTTTGCGCATGTTTTAGCGGCTTAATGGTTTATTACGGACCAACCCCCTTGCAGCATAATGTCAGAGCCATAAAGGGCGAGGCCTACGCCAATTTGAAAGATAAAGAAAAGACCGCCCCCATGACCCCCTCCCCCC